ACCAACCAACCTTGATTTCGTCTTGTTATCGATTAGGTGTTTACTGCCTCTTGCAATCCATTTTTGTTTCAGTAATGATCAATGTTACTTCGAGCTGTCAACGCAATGACGCCTGAAATTCTATTGCTCTCGCACTGGCGTCTCAGACCATTGTTTGTACTACTGTCCATTCGGTCATCCTCATTTTTTCCTGCGATTCTCAACATACATACATGTTGCCATGCCACTTTGCTTAAATGGCAATGGTTGAAGAACTTCCATACGTCAGTACCGAGAGCAAGCACTGACTGAAGACCTTCCGTTTGACAAACATGGGCAGTTGCCCAGGTAGGAACGTCTTCAGTCATAATGAGGACCACTTCGAAGTATATGTTACTCGGTGACGAGTTAACACTACATTAAGTCCTCGCCTGTCTGAAATAATTTAACCACGGTTGGTAGTAACTCTTCAGGTCCTGAGCAAAACTTTCAGTATGTGGACTTTTGACGAATTGATCTTTGACCAGGTTTAAAACGCATCACTCGCAGAATACCTTCGCTAACTGTTATTTAACAGCTTTCGGTTTTAATTGAAATAAAATTCCATGTCTAACCATGTTGAAATAACACCATCGCATCATTCAACCCGAAATTATTATTATTTTTATTTGAACAACAAATAGCATAAAAATGCAAAAACACAATTAACATTGTTGGCTGCTGAATGAGGAAGGAGGAATAAGACGGTATTTGCCAGTTTCACCACCGACCATCTGCAGATATGCGAGCAGCTGGTGGGGAGTCCGTGGTTTCTGCAGAGTAAGCTGCCTCGATTCACCAGTGCCATAGGATGCCGATTTCAGCTGGAACCGACGGGCTGCACGGTGGATGTACCCGCGCTGCTCTCTACTCAGTTCGACCGAGAACACCAGGTCGTCCTGGCGGTCCGAATGGGCATAGTCGGACAGCAAAGCATTGATGACGCGACAGAAGTTTCCACCGACGCTACTGCCGATGCCGTTGCGCTGCCAGGTCTCCTGCAGGGAGATCGGCTCTTTGATGCCCTGCTCGTAGAGGCCGATGCCTCCCCCCGTCCAGCCCATCTTTTCTAGCATCTTCCTGCCGACGTTCGTATCGGGAAGGGCCACAGTGGCAGGGGGCCGGCCAGAGCTCGATGCTGCGCCGTTGACCGATACCGCATCCTGACTTTTGTCGATTGACGATTTTACCTGAAAATCAATGAAGTTACAACCTCAGTTTACGGTCGTCGCTAAAACGAGAGCAGTAAACAAGGGACTGGAAGGAGGCAAAACCATGCCTTTTTCGGAGCAAAGCAAAATCACTACCGTAAAGTCAAATAAAAAAAGGCAAAGGAAAAGATACGTAAAAAGATTTCCATCATGGAAAGTAATTAATCAAATATTCATAATTTATTCACATAGTTATGTCCATATTTTATCCTGAAACTATTAATTCAATTATACTGTCTATTCATGTCAAAAACTACTCATTCGCCTTTACCCCCAGGTAAACGGACCTGGCTTATCAGGGAATCGCTTGATACAATGAAAACTTCGCAATCTGTATGGTGTCATTGGCGCCGTAATGAACACTTTGGAATGATTGGTCAGTTAGTTGGTCAGAGAGTCAGTCAGAAGCATTAACAATTGAGTTTATAGCGACAACAAATAATATAGTGGTTCGAATATAACTGTTACACCAGCGGAAACCGTAAAAAGTATTTTGTGAGGGAGGGGGCAAGACATCGCTTCCATGTCAGTGAAGATTTGAGTTTACTTTTCGTCTACAAATAATTTAATATTTTGTACAATGCCGTTAATGGTATATCCGTGAAAATTCGACCTCTCTACGACTACAAAGACGCGAGCCATTAATTTCAAACATTTATCACTTCATCTTTCCACTTCATTTACATCTACATCGCACAGATATACACAGTAGTTCAGCTTGTCACTATGAATGCCTGTAGTAATGAATCTGAATGTTCTGTGGTCTATTCCACGACCTAAAACATCATCTCCGATTTTACCCATTGCAGGTCACTAATCATCATCGCCTCTTTCATAATCAAAGTGACAACCATCCACAAGGGGGTGGCTGAAGAATGTAAATATCAAGATCCATTGCTCCAACGATGATATTGAAAATT